ACTCCCACTCCCACACACTCCTCCCAACACATGCCTGTGATGCGCTCTGCGTCTGTGACATCACAGGGGATGCGTCACAATGGGGGCGATTACCAGGGGTGAATATCAGGGGCGCCAGCAGTCAGTGCTGCTCCAGTGCTGCTCACCACCTGGGACAGTGGTGAGTGCAGGCGTGGGGGGAGGCTGGGCTGGAATAGGGCCGGGGCAGAAACGTGGGCCCCTGGGGAGGGGGGATCTCTCAGCCTCTGAGTCCCCATTTTCCCCAGCGCCAGCTCCCTCCCTCCCAGCCCCACTGAACTCCTTCTCTCTCTCCTCCTGCTGCAGGCCATGGATTTGATTACATACTTCAGTTTACTTCTGCAAAGCCTCTTATCCTACACACAGAAAGGTAGGGATGAGCTGGATGAGGCCACGCGTTTGCGCATGCAGCAGCGTGCGAAGTTCTTGAGGCAGAAGATGGCTCAGCTGGTGCAGGAGGTGGAAGAGATGTACCAGAGGCAGGGAGAGGAAGAGATGGACGAGAAACAGAGGTGTGAGAAAGAGAGGGGCTTTTCCTGGGGAGCCCTACTCTTTGCTGCCTTGCAGCAGTGGCAGTTCTGGGCAATCGCTGGAGTCCTGGTCCTGCTCTTTGGACTCTCCTGGTGGCTCCCGAGAAGGAGCTCTGAGCCAGATGGGAACAGAGAGAGCAAGGAGTACCAGAGCAGTGACAGCAATAGGGACCACAAAAGTCACAGAAAGGAGGACCACAACAGTCACAGCAAGGAGGAACAGGAAAGAGTAGATGAAGAGGAAGAAGAAAATTATGCAAATCACGTGAGAACAAATCTTGAGAGACACATCTCGGGGCAAGCTGCAGATCTGGCTACAGACTGCCAGACTGTGGAGTACTTCACGGACAGGTTAATCAGTACCCTCAGAAGGTTGTTGTCAAATACTTTCCTACCGAATTTGGAAGCAGCCATCGGGGTGGGCAGCGCCTTCGAAGGTTGGAGTCCGCGTGAGGAAGACATGACCTTCCGCGTGTTCGTGCCCATGACACCTCCCCGTGGGCACGTCTTCCACCTGGAACTGGACACTGAGAAGACGATCCCGGGAAGGAACTTCCGTATCCATGTTGAGCAAGTGTGTACCTGCAGGAGGGAGCAGTATCCAGGAGAGATGCTGTGCTTCCTCCACAGGCCTGAGGAAGAGCTGAGGAACAAGCAGGGCCGCAGCATCCTCGACCTACTCTGCACTGGCTCCTACCTTGATGTGCACAAAACTGCCCACTGGTTCAATCTCTTGGTGAAAGAAGCTTGGGTGAGTTTTCCCGAGTCACACACGTGCAAGCTAAAGATGCTGCCATTCAGCCGCTCCTGCAAGTTCCAGATGAAGAGAGGCAGTGGCAAATGCATACTCATTGAGATGATGTTTGGGGTGAGGCAAGACAACTCAGATATCTTTGTGAGCAGCCAGAGTACAGAGGCCGTCTTCACCCCAGACACGATGTGGCCAGAGAGCTATGCTGTGGCAGAGGCAAAGTTCTTCAGGCTTATGGCCAGGGACATCCCACACAACAGCTTCCACCTCAAATGCCTGCATGTCTTTGCCCAGATGGTGGTGGGCTCAGACTTTTCCAGCTGTACCTTCAAGACTGTTGTGATGCACCTCCTGACCACCACACCCCTGTCAGGCTGGACCAGGAGGGATTTTCCGCTGCGGCTGCTGGAAATCATGCGATACCTGCGCCACCGCCTGAAGGAGAAACGGCTCAACCACTTCTTCTTGGGCAACGAGGGGGTGCCTGAGGAGATCGTCTTGCCCTCAGACATCCGAGAGGCTGAACCTCTCAACCTCTTCCAGCACCATGCTGAGGCAAGGCATGAGTTTGAGGAGCTTCAAGATCGGCTCACAAGACTGCTGCTCTTGGGCCACTGAAAGAGGTCTTACTGCACAGAACTGTGTTTGCGGGGCTCACAGCTCATGGCAGAAGACCGCCTCATACAGAAAGGAAAAAGAAAAGAAAATGTCATAAACCAGACATGAAATGGAAAGCCCTGCTTAGCAGCTCTCTGCCAAGGGCAGCAGAATTCTTCTCTCGACGGTCTCCCCAGCGTAGCAGCCCACATTGACCATGGTGGCTACAAA